GATGAATTTGTTAATATTGTGTGACTGGAACTGCACTGTGAAATGCAACCCATTAAGTTTATAGTTGCACCTCTCCTCCAATCACAAAGTCAATTAACATCCATATCTCCACAGGTCTACATTCAAATGCTACAAAAATCTACAGACATTCTTTGGATTCTAGCTATCACATGTTTTGGTCAAACAATGAGTCTGTGGTGACTATGAATGTCTTGTAATTAGTACTGTACAACAGCAGAATGGGCCACTATATGGTCAGTTATAAAGCATTTTATGTGTTTGCTAAATTTTTGCTAACTGATGAACCTTAAGGGGTAGAAGACACATTTTTGTACAATGGTTTCCAATTTCAGTGATATAGGCCACGCCCATTTGCACCTTAAAGACATTCTGCAATTTGAGATTTTTTGCTTCTTTCTGCACATATTTTATGTAGTCTTAACCAAAATTGGTGCGTAACATATTTAGAAGAAGCCGAACAAGAATTAAAGGTTTGTGTATCACTTATCAAACAAAAAAAAGTATTTCTGTACCCCCAGGTTTAGTAGTAGATATTAATAAACTATTCCGACAGCAATTGTTTGGGTCATAGGGCGTACCAAATAAAGGAAGTAACATGTCGAACCAAAAGGCCTGTTACAAACTGTTCGGGATGAATACATGTACTGTCATAACCCAATGACAATATAGCTCCATATCACATTTGTATCCCCCAGGATCACATTAATGATTTTATATACCTACATTAACATCAGTCTGAAATCCAGCCAAGCCTATGCAACAGGATGAGGTAAAAATCCCCAAAATTGTAACACATAAAAAAATGGGAGAATTTTTGGGAGAGGCTGAAATGACAGACTCCTTTATCAGAGCAGCATATTGAATTGTCATTACATTGTTTAAACTGAAGATACTCTTCACTGTTTCTGTTATACATAGTAAAGAGGATTAGTACAGCATGGAAACAAATTCTTACATTAAATACCTCCCAACGATCGTAACATTCACATCTCTGATTTATTACAAAATAAATGACGATATATTAGTATGACTAACGTCACTATTACTCTAACATCACTTTTAATACACGAGATTGCATTGGTTTGACAGAACAACCTCTTCAGATGTTTAGAGATTTCTTTCATTTTTACTCCATATATAATTGGATTGAACAGAGGATGATACAAAACAGTTTGTAAAGTCATTATTAAACGTACAGTCTTTGGAAAATCTGATTCCAGTCGAACTATAATAACATCATATGCACACAAACAGGAATAGCTGATTAAAACCAATAGGTGGGGTAAACAGGTCTGTGCAGCTTTTTTTCTGACATTTCTACAACTTCGATAAGATATTACAAGTATCCTGGTGTATGTGAAAAGTATGAAGAGCAAAGGGAAAAGCCCAATGTTTAGCAGAGCAATAACACCAAATATAGATATTGCTTTTGAAGTCACACAGTGGAGACTGTAAATTGAATTATTACAAAAAATTTCTTTTAAAGTGAACTTACAGAGTTTCATATCAGCACTCAGTATTGCTGGGACTGCAGTCTGACAAGCAGGCACAAGCAGCCTACAGACTGAGCTAACCGGGTGCTGGCTTGAAGTGAATTTTGCTGTGAAACATAACCTATTAGGTTTACAGTCATCTCTCCTCCAATCACTTCCTGTGATTGCAACCTGATATTGCTGATGATAACCCCTAACCCTAACCAAAAAAATGTTTTTGAGAATTGATACAATATTTTTTTTTAATTCTCTTACATCCCTAGATTCGAAGGGACTTTAACTTGTACTGGAGTATTTTCAGTGCAGTATTACTACTTTTAATTAAGTAAAGGATCTGAGTACTTCTTTCACCACTGATTATTATATTATATTAAATTATATTATATTATTTTGCTGTTGTTAAAGTGTACTGTCTGAAGGTTGGTTGGTGTTAACAGTTTGGAGTTGTGTTAACGTGTTTATTTGCTTTTTTATTTGAGGACAAAAGAGCCTGTTGACCACCTCTAATAATTAATTCATAAATTGCGATAATGACTTCACTTTGCAACGTATTACACAAGCAGTTAAAGTGTTTTGGTGTTTGTAATAATACAGCATGTTAGATCATTTGGACACTTGTTTCTGATCACAGAGGTAAAAAGGTATTTCCTCAGCAGGACGTCCCCTGAGACCAGCACAGTGGGATCACTGCAGGGTCATAATGAGCTGTTTGCAGACTGGCTGCAGTCAGACCTGTCCCCTGAGCCTGGCCTGTTGTTCTTCACAGTGGAGGTGGCACACATGGGAGGTCACAGTAGAGGACACTAATGACACTCATTACAGTATCCTTACATCAGCTGAAACACACAAAAACA